GGGGATAATACGAGTAATATTTTGTTGTAAATGTTAATAAATTGAAAATAACACAAGTAATATTTTGTTTTAGATGATGATAAATTGAAAATAATACAAGAAATAATTTGTCTTAGATGATGATAAATTGAAAATAATGCAAGTAATATTTTGTTTTTGATGATGGTAAATTGAAAATAATTCAAGTTTTTAATTTTAGATAGTGATGAATTGAAAATAATACAAGTAATATTTCGTTTAAGAAGTTGATAAATGAAAGTGAAATTGATACAAGTAATATTATGTCTTAAATGATGATAAATTGAAAATAACAGAAGTACTATTTTGTTTTAGATGTTGATCAATTAAATTGAAAATAATACAAGTGATATTTTGTCTGAGATGATGATAAATTAAATTGAAAACAATGCAAGGGACATTTTGTTTTAAATTGTGATAAATTGAAAATAACACAAGTGATATTTGGTTTTTAGATGATGATAAATGGAAAATGATACAAATAATATGTGAAGCATGCTAACAAAATGGGTTACTTCTCGCAATCCATGAATGGAGATATCTGCCAAAAATCAACATAAGGGTCATATCTGAAGACTCTAAACCAAAGCCATTCTCTTCAAGATTAACATGTCTTTTATCATTTCATACTGATAAATTGTAAAACTGCAACCTATAAATTTGATGTCTCTATTTCGATCGGTCTAAAATTTGAGAAGTAATTCATTTTGTCAGCACACTTCACCTATTTAGTTTCACGTTTACCAGCAAATAGACGTGACATGAACGGGTAGGCTGTTCATTCTATGGGGTTTTCTTGGGGTTTTTGTCAAGATTTTTTGTTTACTTTAAAAAAATGTAAATGGTGGTTGAAAAACGGCATTTCTTGGTCCTATGTCATTTTTATTCCTCTATTGTTTCATTGGCCGTCATCCTTTTTAATTGTGTCCAGTGATTTAATGCCTGTGTTTTTATGTGCCTGTGTTTGTGTGTGTGTATGGTGTGTGTGTGTGGGTGTTTATATATGTGTGTGTGTTTATATGTGTGTGTGTGTGTGTGTGTGTGTGAGTGTGTGTGTGTGTGTGTGGGCGCATGTTTATGTGCATGTGTGTGTGTATGGTGTGTGTGTGTGTGGTGTGGGGGTGGGAGTGTGCAAATCTTCCTTTAAAAAAAGAATTTTGTTAGTATACCGTTATTAGTATTAATAGTATACATATAAAACTCTGTTGAAACATAATATTTCTGTTTTCTTCGTGCCCAGCGACTTTGGCGAGTGGAGTCGAGACGATCGCCAAGGCTCTCCCTCCCACACCTACTCCTCAGGAGGAGGAGGAGGAGGTGGTGGAGGGAGTCGCAGCGGCTCCCCGGACAAGCCTCACAACACGTTCGAAAGGCCGTCGAGTGAGAACAGCTTCCACGATGCGGCCGGAGACCGGGGGTTCGGATCCGAAGGGTCGTCGCAGCAGCAGCAGCAGCTACAGCAGCCAGGGGGGAACAACAACTACAACAACGGTGGTGGTGGTGGTAGTGGTGGAGGTGCTAGACTGTCGCCCCCGCCCAGCGGGAAGAAGATGGGATCCCAGGTGGATGGGTCGGAGGTCAACGCCGGAGGACTGAATTCTTTTGAGCGAGCGCTGAACGATATACTGGGTGAGTTGAGGAGTTGAGTTTACGGGTGGATGGTGCTGGAGGGTTTTTTGAAATCTTAACCCTTCCAGTGGGTTGTTGGTGGGTGCTCTGGTGTGGTTTGCTTCTTACTTCCTATCAAACATCTATCGTCCTTTTCTCCCCTCCTTCTTTTGTGTGTTTGTTACTCTCGTGTAACACCTCTAATCTCCGGCACTTTAATGACCTTATTGTGTTGCAAGTGCTGTAA